TGGGGCCGGAGTTCGGAGGCTCTATAGGTCTGATCTTCGCGATGGCGAATGCTGTGGCATGCGCCATGTATGTAGTGGGCTTTGGAGAGTCCCTCATCACATTAATACCGGAGTCCGCGTATATTGTCAGCAAGAGTTGGGTGAGTTTGTTTTTCATATTATTAACATCAGAAGTATGTATTAAAACTCTTTTTAATAATTTATTAAATCTGTTTACCGATTCCCGCCAGAATGGCGCGCGTGTCCTTAATATGTACGTATGACATTGACAGATGTCATAGGGATGGGACGTGTATGCTAATTATCTAGTGTTGTGCTGCTACTTTGCGGTACCGATTTTTTAACAATGTTATTTATTTTATTTAATTAGTACTAGCTTTCGCCCGCGACACCGTCCGCGTAGAATTCAAAAAACAAAAGTCAGTAGCTTATGTGTTTTTCCAGACTATCTTCCACGTGTATACGAAATTTCATCGACATCAAACATCCGAATTTATATTGATTAATATTTGTTTAGGATCAAGCTATTTACGGCTGCATCACGATAGTGTTACTAACGGGCATAGTAATGGTGGGGATGGAATGGGAGGCAAAGGCCCAAATAGTCCTGCTAGTGATATTGCTAGCGGCTATCGCAGACTTCTGTATAGGATCTGTGATCGGACCTAAAAGTGAATATGAAGTCGCACAAGGATTTGTTGGATATAATAGTGAGTTGCTTGTAACATATTTAAATGTACATTTACGACCAAATACTGAAACAAATTTTAAATACTTCGCTTCGTAAGTACCGCTTACAATCGCATAGACTTTAAAATTAGAAAGGAATTTATACTTCAAGCGTGGCCTTATTATTAAAATTTCGTTTCAGTATTCGGCCATTATACTAGTAGGCGGACTAGGGCAGTATTTATTTTTAAACTATGTTTTAGCCGCGACTGCGTCTGTATTAAACTTAGTAACTAGCCTATGTCTTTCTCCAGACTATGTTCTACATTTGTGACAAATTTCAACGAGATACGTTAAGGCGTTTCGGAGATACACAGTAACAAACATACATCCAACACTCATTATTTAATTTGGAGACTTTTAACCTGATAACTTTGACAGTATGTAAAACTAGCATTCGCCTGCGACTCCGTCTGCGTGGAATAAAAAAAAAAACAAAAGTAGCCTATGTGTTCTTTCAGACTATCCTCTACATTTACACCGAATTTTATCAAAATCCGTTCAGCAGTACAAACTACAAACTCTAACAAACATCCATCCATCTAAAATATAGCATTTATGTTGGTATGATTAAATAGTCTATATGCATTTTTATATGATACTAGCTTTCGCCCGCGACTCCGTCCGCGTGGAATTAAAATAAAAGAAAAGGGAGTACCCTATGGGTTCTTCCAGATTATCCTCTAAGTCTATGCCAAATTTCATCCAGATCTGTTCAACCGTTTAGGCTACAAACTCTAACAAACTTCAATCCATCCATCCAACTAAACTTTCGTATTTATAATATTAGTAAGATTTGTCTAGTCAAGTAAAGTTTTTGAATTTAGTATTTTGACGTTTTATGGAGTGACGATATAAATGACACTGTGTTTGTTAGTGTCGGTGCTGCAAACCAACTTGGCGTCGGACTATCGCTACTTCGAGGGTGTGGAGCACAACTTCTTCTCCGTGTTCTCCATCTTCTTCCCCGCAGCCACTGGGATACTGGCCGGCGCTAATATCTCAGGAGACCTTAAGGTATGTAACTGTTTCGACCTAGGCTATATTAATAGTTACATCTTGTTTTGTAAAAGGCGACTAGACCCCCTTTTTTAACTTCTCAAAAGAAGGAGGTACTAAATTCGTCTACATTTTTTTACTTTCTTTAAATAGGCAATGCATCTGCAACTTTTTATTATAACTATGTCCGTCATTCAGACCGTGGACCTCAATTTGGGGCACCCGACACAACTTTCGTGCTTCTACATTTACTCATATGTGCACGTCATTTCGACAGATATTTCGCCAAAATGGCTAGGTTACATAATGGGTCCACAATTTTGGTAAAATTAGATTAATTTAATGGTTTCGCCATTTTGGCGAAATTAAGTGATTGCCTTATTACATTAATTTGGTTCGATAGAGAAGCAATCATGTATGTTCGCCAGTTTAGTGAAATTATGACATTGGGTTTCGCCATTTTGGCGAAATTGCGATCGTTCTTTGTTTTGTTATTGGTACCAAATTAAGTGTATGTCCAGGACCCTCAGAAGTCGATCCCCAAAGGCACTCTGCTGGCCATCCTGCTGACGACGCTGTCGTACCTGGTGATAGCGCTGATCGCGGGCTGGTCGGTGCTGCGCGACGCCTCCGGTGACGTCACCGCACTCACCGACTGCGCCCACAACAGGACCTGTCCCTACGGACTGCATAATAGTAACGATGTGAGTAGCGCCAATAGCCTAATGGTTTGAAGGTCCGGATTTCCTTGTATGACGTGGTCGAGGGTTCGAATCCCGATATTAAAATAAAAATATTGTATAATGTTGTATTTAATATAACTAAAAAGTTTATTCCAAAAAAAATGCAAAACATATGAATAAGAATTATAGAAAAAGAAAAAGGAATTCATTAATGTGGCATAAGGATTACGCAACAAAAAAAATACGCAAATAAAAACTGTACAAGAAAGAATACCGTCCAAGAGTCTGTAAATGTTGATAAAAACTAAAAAAAAAAAAACTAATTTTCGTAGATTGCAAACAATTTCTAGCACAACCCCTAGTTGGAATAGTAAAAAACGTATTAGAAAAAGATCCATTTGCAAGCTATTTTAGCGCGGAATTTAAAAAAAAAGTCTATAACATGTAGATCAACTCAATTGGTACCTGCATAGAGTTACGACTCTATGATTTGGCGCCCATAGAGTAGTACATTGCGTAGAGCCGTGAGCTGATAATTTGGTTGTTGAGCCACAGATCAACGATTTAAGACGTGAACTGATCTTTTGAGCCGATTGAAACACTAGTCAAGTTTTTTCCAGTCCTTACTGTTTTTTTTTTCCATTTCAGTAATAAATATTGATTTTGTGTTTGTAGGTGATAAGACTGGTATCAGCATGGGGTCCGCTGATCTACGGCGGGTGCTTCGCGGCCACGCTCTCCTCCGCTCTCGCCTCGCTCGTCTCCGCTCCCAAAGTGTTTCAGGTCATTAATAGTTTTAGTGGAATAATCCACGATATAGCGAAAAATATCGTTATAACCTAAAATTTTACTTTAAAAATGGTAGGTAATACTATAACCATAAAAAGTGCAAACGTGTCTAATTTTAGTCCCTTTCCCTTCTGAAAAAGAAAGTAGGTTTGAGGGATTGAAGGCATAAGTAGGAAAAATTCTCTCTGTGTGTTGTATTATACTAGCTTACGGCCGCGATGCCGTCCGAATTCATAAAACAATATTGAGTAGCCTATGAGTTCTTCCAGACTATTCTCTACATCTATACCAAATTTCATTGAAATCCGTTCAGCAGTTTAGGCTCTATCTAATATCCATACATTCATCCAAACTATCGTATTTATCCCTTGGGGACGTGTATGACTGAAAACCATGTTTTATCTTCTAACGGACACAATAATTCGTCCGAAAAGCATTCTTCACTTATTGTCATCTAATCTATATTATTATAATAAAGCGTAAACACACACTTCTTTGTTGCCTAAGATGTCAGCAATTACAGCATATTTTTGAATAAATATTTTTTTAATAAAAAGCCCTACACTTACGTCACGCTTTAGGCTATATATTTTCACGCCATTAAACTTAGGGGGTAAATATTTTGGATAAAAACCCTAATGTGGGAAAGAGACCATAAGCTGCAAGCTACCAACATCAAGGAACCAAGGTTGTCATATGAATTCGAACATTTCACAAATGTAAACAATAAAATAAAGTTTTTACAATGTAATGGGGATGAAGCCGCATGGGAACAGCTAGTACTATATAAAAATGTTTTTTTGTTTATGGCTTTGTTTTAATACATGTGTGTTTGCAGGCGCTGTGTCAAGACAAACTTTACCCATACTTGGAGTTTTTCGCGAAAGGCTACGGCGCTAACAACGAGCCCGTCCGTGGATATGTGCTTACATTTATTATCGCTGTTGCCTTCATATTGATGGGTAAATAATACTAGCTATCGCCCGCGACTCTTCACGCGGAACTAAAAAAAAGCTTTTTAGTACGCTGTGTTCTTTGAGACTGCTCTACCACTATGACAAATTTTTTTAAAAGTCCGGTCAGTCGTTTAAAAGACCTTAGAAACATCCATCCATACATACAATTTTTTGCATATATAATATTAGTAAGTGATTTTTTGTCATATTTTTATTTTATATTATTATGAGCAAATCTTCTTTTTGTGTCTCATCCATCAAACAAAGGTAGTCAGATGCATCTTTAAATGTCTATGGGCAGAGATCGTTTCGCTATTTCGGCGAATCCAAATCTCTAGTTGGCAACCTTAAAATGTAAAGAATGTATTTATAAAGATAATTTATTACTTAAAAATTGAATTTTGTTTTCATGATAATCACTAATATTTGTGTAAAATGTAACTTTTTCAGGTGGTTTGAACCAGATAGCTCCGCTGATCTCCAACTTCTTCCTGGCGGCGTACGCCCTCATCAACTTCTCCACATTCCACGCGAGCCTCGCCAAGCCAGTGGGCTGGAGACCTACCTTTAGAGTAAGTTATCTAAAAAATGCTAAAGTTTGGATGGATGGATGGATGTTTGTTAGCGTTTGCAGTCTAAACTGCTAAACGAATCTCGATGAGATTTGGCATATATGTAGAGGATGATCTGGATGAACACACAGGTTATCTACTTTTATTTTTTTTTAATTCCACGTGGACGGAGTTATGGGCGAAAGCTAGTCTTTTTTTTATAACATAAAGTGGCAAACGAACAAGCGGCCACCTGAATCCGCCAAAATGGCGAAGCGACCGCTGCCCATAGACATCTGCAATTGCAGATTCGTTGCCTACCAGTATCCGACAGAGGAGGAGACGCACATAAAGAGGACATTTCCCCTTCCTATGCTTCTCCTCCACTGTCAAATCCATTTCCCCTTCCCATCCTCTCCTTATAAGAAAAGTATGGTAAAGAGAAAGAAACTTGAATTAGGACTCCTGCACCACACTCATCAGACTGTACACGGAATTGGTTCCATTTCACGCGTCTTCTGTGTGGTCGTGGTATTACGGGGGGAGTGCCGGCCCTGCAGTGCTAAGATGTTAAAGCGGGCACTACCACTGCTAAATATCTTACATAACAATATGCATGTTTATATTTGTTTGTGTGTGTTTCCAGTTGTACAACAAATGGCTGTCTCTGTGCGGCGCGGCGCTGTGCGTGGTGATAATGTTCGTGGTGTCGTGGGCCACCGCGCTGCTCACATTCGCCTTCCTGCTCACCCTCTATCTGCTCGTGTCGCACAGGAAGCCAGGTAACATATGACTCCCGCATTCAGACCACACACCTTTGACTAAACTATAGGATATTTAGAGCCTGTCCCACCACTGATAGAGGCTTATATACCTTAAAAGTGACGTCACTGACAGATAAAGTACCAAAATCCAATATTGCTGACATATTTTATACGTTGGATTGTTATCTGACAATTTACAAGAGTTGTGGGACAGGCCCTAAGTCTCGCTTTGATTCCTATGAACTTATATAGAGGTTCTCACACGACTCGATTTTTAGTTGTGCAACTAAACAAATGAATTGGTTGAGAAACAATCGACAATCGCACAACTGTCGTGCGATAGTTTAGTCAAAAGTGTACACCCACTCTCTATCTTATTGAATTTCTCTTGGTTAAATTGAATCTATCTTAGCAGTTAACTGCCGAATAAAAAATCATTCAACCTTTAACGAATATTGTAAATACCCCCTTGAATTTTAGGTAAAACTCATCAATACCAACATCAGAAAAAAAATTCCCTCTCTTTATAAAAAAGAGTTTTTTTTACCAAATATACAGATCCTATATACCTAAAAACACGTCACCAGTTTACAATTATCTCAAAAATAAAACTGTTGTGTCATCATCATCATCACCAGCTAACTATACGTCCCCACCGAGGGGCTTCGCCGATATATGCAGGTTGCACGATGTTTTCCTTCACCGCAAGAACGTCGGGTAAATTATGTACATGTGAAAATTCGAAAAATCGAAAATCACATCGGTACGGCGGGATTCGAACCCAAGACCTGTAGATTACAAGTCAGTATTCAAACCACTGAGCCACCGACGCTCTTAACTATTGTGTGATTAACTAAAAATTCTATTAAAATGTTAACATCTGTCAGATTGTAAGCGGTACTTATGCATCGAAGTGTTTAATATTCGTTTAAATAATAACATCCTTACAAATAAACACGGTATAAATTTAAACTTAGTAATAAACTGAGAATAAGCAAATATTACTAATATTTGCTTATACTCAGTTTATTCCTAAGTTATTTGTTAAGGTTTTTTTTATTTATATCCAGACGTGAACTGGGGCTCCACGACGCAGGCGCAGACGTACAAGACCGCGTTGTCCGGAGTCCACCAACTTAATAGGGTCACTGAACATGTCAAGAACTATAGGTAACTGTAAAACATTTTGTGTTACTATGCCAAAACTGTTTCTGTGCGGATTCATACGCATATATGAAAACTTTATTTTGTTTATATTTGTGGAATTTTTAATTGCAAATGTCAAAATTCAAACGCAAATGACAACTAAGGCATTTGACATTGGATAATAATTACCGTTTACCATGGTGATCTTGTTTCCTTGATGTTGTCAGCTTGTAGTTTTTGTCCATTTCTCACATGACTTTTTTCCAAATTATTTATTCCTTTAGTAATAGCGTGAAAATATATAGCCTAAGATAGTAAAGTGTAGGCCTTTTTATTAAAAATTGTGGACATCCTACATAACTAAGTAGTGTTTGTTTACGCTTTATTACATTACTATAGATTGGAGTGTCTGTAGTACAGTAATAAAAAAAATCTTTCTGTCTGGTCGGAGTAATCTTCAAAACGGCTGGACCGATTTCGACGGCACTTAGACTGGAAGGTAGCTGATGTACGCGGGAATGTTATAAGCTATTTATTTTTTTTAATTCTTTCTTTAATAATTTCAGGCCTCAGATATTAGTACTGACGGGCTTCCCCGGCGAACGGCCCGTGTTGTGCGACTTCGCGTACCTACTTACAAAAGGCTTGTCTCTCATGTTATGCGGTCATATCAGTCAGGTAAGGTTATAATCTAATAGTCTAGTAGACAAATTATTTTTACTATTTCTAATAAATACCAACTGTGGAAAACAAATAGCAGTTTATAAATTTTATTTTAATATGGAAAATGTTTCTATTTTATTTTGGCAGGCGTTTGAGGATTTCACTCGATTAAAACCCATAGAAAAAATATGGAACTTTCTATGCATGCATTAAAAAGTGAAAAAAAAACGATAAATTCCTTGCGGACATTAATTTTTAGTTTTTATGCTATTTTAGGGTCAGATAAGTCACCGTACACGGGAAGCGCTCACCAATAGAGCCTACCACTGGTTCTTGAAGCGCAAGGTGAAGGCATTCTATAGCGTCGTTGATGACGTCAGCTTCAAAGATGGCGCCAGCGCTCTCATACAGGTCAATACATAAACTATCATACTAATATTATAAATGCGAGAGTTTAAATGGATGTATGGATGGATGGATTAATGTTTATTATAAATGGATTTCGATGAAATTTGGTATAGATGTAGAGTATGGTCTGGAAGAAAACAGAGACTACTCACTTTTGTTTTTTTTAATACCACGCGGACGGAGTCGCGTGCTAAAGCTAGTATTTAACTAAATATACTATGAACAGTTTTAACCAATTAAATTGTCTGCGCGGAAATAAAAAAAAATAATAAGCCTATGTGTTTTTCATGCCTTTTTCGTGCCTTGTGTGTTGATTTGTGACAAATTTCATTAAGATATGTTAACTGTTTTGGAGATACATAGTAACAAACATCCATCCATCCATCCAAATTTTTCTGTTATATTAGTAAGATCACTTTTATAGTCGGGTTATTTGTGAAATAATATAAAAGAGAGTATTTCTTGTATTTTTTACATCCAGAGACTTTCTAGGTGATCTTATGACCTTGAGCTTGTGAATTAATGGGAGTTTTGATATATTTAGAAATGTATTTATTTATTATGTTAAAATTAGTTTTACATGTATGTCGCAGGCAAGTGGAGTGGGCAAACTGAAGCCTAATATTCTAATGATGGGCTTCAAAGAGGACTGGCAGAGTTGCGAACGCGCTGAGATCGTGGACTACGTTGAAGTTATGCAGTTAGTACCATATTCATCTATTTAGTTAGTTAGATGCTCTAGGGTCGTAAGATGACCTAGATAACAGGAAATAGAGTTAAGGGTTCATAAATTAAAGAACAAAGAAGAATGGACTATGTTTGACATCTATGAAAATAATCGAGATCCGTTCAGCAGTTTAGGCTACAAACTCTAACAAACATCCATCCAATCTTTTGAATTTAATTAGTAATATTTTTTTTACTAATTCATCCTTTCAATATGTGTAAAAGTTTTTCATGTATACTAATATAAAGAGGAAATATTTTTGTATGTATTGAAAAAACTCAAAAACTACTTTCAATTTTTTTTTCTTTAGAGATTTCAATTTCAATTTCAAACTACTTTCAAAATTTCTTCTTTTGAAATTTCATTCTTCTTTCTAGATTTAAAAAATTCTTTCACCATTAAAATGCTACGTTATCAATCAGTAACAGGCTATTTTTTTTTTATTTCACGCGTACGAAGTCGCAAGCAATAGCTAGTAATTTATATTTTGAAAATTCCTTTTTTTGTTTTATTTTAGGTTAATAAATAGTATTTTATTTATAGCAAAGCTCTGGATGTGCATATGGCGTTGGCGATACTTCGTGTAGACGGCGGGCTGTATAGCGGAGACGCGCTCGAAGCAGACCTGCGAGTGTGTCTCAACGACCTCAGTCTTAACGACACGCAGCCGTTCTCACGTGAGTTAGACAGGGACGGAGATAGTACATACGTACGAGGGAAAGAGATAGGTATACGATAGAGATAGGATATACAGGGGGATTGGTGTATAATGTTACTGGAGAATGGGTATATTTGGCAATCGTATAGGAAATTAAAAACAAATCTAATATTAAAAATGCGAAAGTTTGGATGGATGGATGGATGTTTGTTAGAGTTTGTAGCCTAAACGGCTGAACGGATTTCGTTGAAATTTGGTATAGATGTAGAGGACAGTCTGGAAAAACACATAGGCTACTCACTTTTTTTTTAATTTCACGCGGACGGAGTCGCGGGCAAAAGCTAGTATTAAATAATTATTGTAATCTTAAAGTTAAATATTTAGACATGTTAATACGCGCTAACATAGAATAGTTATGTTTTTATTTTTTGTTATCTGTTTACTCCAATACTTTATAACTTCATTTATTTGTAAGGAAATTTGGAAATGTAAAGTACCTTATTATATTACATAATCTAAAGAAAATGGAATACATAATTTTCATCAGTATCGTTAATCACTAATCACCCTGTATAAGAGAGAAAGAGATCGATATAGATGAAATCACGTAAGAAAGAAAGAGATAGGCTATGTTTTCAAGTTGTGGATTTAATGGTGTTGGTTATATGGGACAATGTTGGCTTTTTATTTTAGTGCTAATTTTTTATATCAATATGTCTGTGTTAACACTTTGTTTATAAATCAATAAATTATACATTGTTTCACAAACAATTGAAGTATTTATAAATATACACTCGTAAATACATTTACATAAAAAATTTACACTTTTAAATAAATATTTACATAATGTAAATATATACATTCATTTTAGAGTATTTTCATACTATATTTAAAACTTTAGTATAGTAAAAGTTATGTATTACTCGATATTTATACATAAATGTAAATCCAAATATTCCATACACGCTTACTCTTTATAAAAATACGTGTAAATCTGTAAAATTTCGATACAATCTACAATTAAAATATATACATTTGTAATAAACATCATTAAGCTTAGGTCATTTTGGCTAACTTTTGCTTGTTCGCTTTCTGCCCACCCCGTCGGTGTCGCAGGCTCGATGGGGGACAGCTACAAGGACTCCAAGTCTACGGAGAGCCTCAATACGCACTCGCAAGGTGAGCCCATACAACTCCACACAGTCATACAACTTCATACAAATTCATACAACTTCATACAAATTCATACAACTTCATACAAATTCATACAACTTCATACAAATCCATACAAAACCATACAAATTAATTATTGTGTTGGTGACATTTAGCTTCGTGCTGGAACATTATGAAATTGTAAAATTGCTAAAAAAATATTACTTATACGTTTCTATGTATTTTTAACCTTATTGTTTATGCAATAAGATCTATTTTAACATGTATTAAAACACTTAATTTGTATGATTTTCAGGCAGTAGTATGTCGGATGTATCGCTAGGGGTGTCCCGCGACCCCTCCGCGAATAGAGAAACACCCCAAGAACGGAATGAAAAGTAAGTCAAATAAAAACTAGTTTAAAAATGAACATAACTAAAGAATACCTTTATGTTTGTATGTATTATATTAAAATATTGATATTTCCAGTATTTTTTTTTTCTTGAAAATAATTACATGACACAAATAAAAAAATATGCACAAATATGGCCCCGCAAAAACCATATAATTGGTTTGTCCGCGGGTGCGCTGGTTTTTTTTGTGTAGAATTACATAAAATACATACATATAAAAATAAAATATTCTGTTCTAGGGCTATTATCAAAAAAAAGGCTTTCCAAACGTTTAACAAATAGTTTAAATTTTGAATCATACATGCTAGTAAAATGGAATTGTAGTTTGCATGTCAGTTACTGTCATATTTTATACTGCTGCAATCTGTTTACATATTCCAGTGATATATTACAGCTTGCCAGTAATGTTTTCCATGCCAGTTCATGCAATATTTTAGTCTCCTTAATCCTTCCCTTGAGAGAGCGTCAGTGACTCAGTGGTGTAACCACTTGAATTGTAATCCAAAGGTCCTGGGTTCGAATCTGTGGTAAAAATGTGATTTTCGAATTCTCGAATTTCATACATAATTTACCCGATTTTCTTACGGTGAAGGAAAACATCGTGATGTACATATCGGCGAAGTAATTCAAAGATATGAAGTCAACCCGCAGTGCAGGATGGTTGACTATGGCCTAGACACTAACTCATAGGCTTCCTTAGAGGTCGTTATGGTGGCAAGCGAAAGCGATTCCGTGAAGTCCCACACAATGGCCAAGGTAACAGGCACGGAGTATGCGTAAGGCATTCCCCTCTGGAAAAAAATCTCCCTTAGTGGGGACGAATCCCTTAACTTGCATTAGCTGTCACGTGCTACTGGTTTTCAGTACAAAAAGTGTTTATATTTACAGCAAAAGTAGGCGGAGTTGGAAGAAAGCGTTGCGAACACGACGTGCTTCCTCCTTCACGTCCGTGGAGCAGTTCACGCGGCGGCAGGCCGGCACTGTTGATGTCTGGTGGCTCTACGACGATGGCGGTCTGTATATATATACTAATGTATAATACTAGCTGTTCCCGCGCGACTTCATCCGCGTAAAATTACAAAATCATTGTATTGTAGGAAATATTTGTATTGTTGTATGTAGTGAAATAACTCAAAAAATACTTGACCGATTTGAACAACACTTATCTAAACTTTCGCATTTATAATATTAGGAAGATTAGTAAGGAAAACGTTATGCTATTTGCAAATATTTGTGATATAATTTAAAAATACGTGCTTCAACCTGTACTAGTCTAATATTGACTATAGTCTAGTCAATAACTTCATTTTCTAGTAATTGTCTTTATTTGATCTCAAAATATTTATGCTATAATTAAAAATCAAATATTGTAATGACGCTGTTTTTTATTGAACGGCAAAGTTTCTTAGTGGCCAGTATCCCTCTTTGACACATTACATAATCTTTGTACACCAAAGAGTATGTGTCATTGTAGAGTGTACACGCCATGTATGCAATAAAATCTTACTAAATAACTGGATGTTTGTTAGAGTTTGTAGCCTAAACTGCTGTATGAAGAACACATAGGCCATTTATTTTTAGATTTTGTATTTAATGTTTCTAAATAGTATGAATATTAGATATATTTCGGTGCAGGTCTGACGCTGCTGCTGCCGTACATCCTATCTACGCGGCGCGCCTGGTCCTCCTGCCCGCTGCGGGTCTTCACCCTCGCCAACAAGACCACAGAAATGGAGATCGAGGAGAGGAAGTAAGTAGCCCCCCCCTCCCTTAAACTTTCGATGTGATATCGCTAGAATTGACAAAATATGTCAAACTATATAGCAACTAGCTGTACCCATACGGCTACATTCGCATAATACTATAAAATCTTTATTTTGTTAACATTACGTTAACCTCAAATTCGCAAATGTCAAAATTTAAATGCACAAATGACAACGAAGGCTTTCTCGCTTCTTTGATATTGACTTGTAGCTTTTGTCTTTCGCATGACAATTTTTTTTTTCAATTATTTTGTCTCTAAATTAAATAGCGTGAAAATTTTTAGCCTATGACTTAACGTAAGTGTAGGGTTTTTTTTATTAGAAAAAGGATTATTAAAAAATGTACAGCACATTTTTGATTCCCTTTTGCTGTCTTACATAACACAGATTATAAATGTAAAAGTTTAGATAGATGTATGTATGGATGTTATAGTCTGTTTATTTCGTGGAAATCTGGCATAGATGTAGAGGATAGTCTTGAAGAATACATAGGCTATTCACTTTTTCTTTGATTCTACGCGGACGGAGTCGCGGGCAAAAGCTAGTCTTACATATCACAGAAGTATTCGTTTACGTTTGTATTTATACTAGCTGTTACTTGGGACTTGACCCGCGTATAAAATAAAAAAAAAAATAAAAATAGCCTATGTTACTCTTTGACATCATAGTTTTTTAACGGTGTAAGATTTGAAATCGGTCCAGTTTTTGAGTTATTCCAATACATCCAAAAATCCAAAATACAAGTCTTTCCTCTTTAGAGAGCGTCCATAAAATACGTTTTTTTTTAAATTTTCCTACCCCTCCCACCCCCCTGGTGGGATGTCGTGAGATTTTATTCAACCCCCTCCCCAACCCCCCATCTCAGGTAAGAATGTCCAAAATGTGAGTTTCTTACGTAAACGCGTTGGATTGTTAATAAGATTAAATCTTAAGCATGTACAATCTGGATTAAATGGACCAAAATAGTATATATTTTTGTGTTTCACTCAGAAAAAAAATTGCGTGATATTTGCCGCGACCCCCCTCTCTCCAACGTAAGATTAGATGAGATTTGACTCGACCCCCTCCCCCTTAAACACCTCACTTAATTTATGGACGTCCCCTTATAATCTTACTTCTTACTAATATTATAAATGCGAAAGTTTAGATGGATGGATGTTTGTTACCGTTTGTAGCCTAAACAGCTGAACGTATCTCCATGAAATTTGGCACAGATATAAAACAAAGTCTGGAGTACACATAAGATAAGATTCATCCCCGAGAAATATCCGGTTCCCGAGGGATACGTAGCTTTTTGTAATTTATATAGTTTGTATGTTTTCTAATACCACGCGGACGAAGTCGCGGGCAACAGCTCGTATTAGTATAGATAATCTAATATATTTTGTTGACAGTATGGCGTCATTATTGTCAAAGTTCCGTATCGACTACTCCGCGCTCAAGATGGTGTCGGACGTGAACAAGAAGCCGCGTGACGTCACTCTCGCCTACTTCGACAAGCTGGTCGCACCTTACATGACTACCGACGATAATGCCGATAATAGTTAGTGTTACTTATTTATTTAAATTTTTATAAACATGTCTGTTATTTTTTTATTTATAGAATTTCATGTGTTGAACACTTGCACTTAAAATTCTTGTAAATCATTAGATAGATTTCGTTACCTTATCTGAAAGTGACGTCTCTTTAAGCTATCAGAGCCTCTATCAGCCAGCGGAGGGACAGGGCCTTACTCTATTCATTCAACAACACATAAACAGCACAACTGTTTAGTCGCGCTTTGGGCTTAGCGCACACACGATTTTTAGTTGTGTAAGTAAGGCTTATAATCAATCAACAATCAAACAAAATGTGCGCATCTTCAATAGCCTTACAATCATCACCAGCTCACTACAAGTCCCCACCGAGGTGTTCGGAGCCTACCTTAAGTATCCCAT